AATGTGGGGGATGGGAAAAAACCCAAAAACCCAAGTCAAAGTTATCTCCACCTTGAATATTTTTCTCCTGCACTTCAGAAAAATGCCTGCAAGATAAAATCAAAACATTTCCACAGGACAAAGACAAGTAACTTACCAGGTGACAATGTTATTTTACTACTTGCTCTATAAATCCTTTAAATTCCCCAAGAACACCCGACCTCTCCCCTGCCAAAAAAAATTCTGAAAAATACATAGACAAGACTTCCGTACAGGAGGAACTTCAAAAGTTGCTTTAAACATGCTGAACTCATTGAAACCCTGCACGGATGTCTCTGCTTTCATTCATGGAAAGTATTCTCACAGGGCTGAGACCAAACCATGTTAAGAACAACATCCTCCTGCCCGTACTGTCTCTTGAAAAAATTTGTACTGGAAATTTTTGTCTTGTACAGCTACTCTTGAAATACAGCACTCTGAAGAGGACTGACAGGACCTAACCCTGAAGGAAACAGGCACTGTGTGGGAAGAATTCATGACATAATGCCTGTGATGTGCAGAAAACTTTGGGAAGCCATGGCTTCTTCCCAGAAGAAATGGGCTGTGCATGAAACAACAAGCTACCAGCTCGCGTACCATCTTCTGTCCAGCTCATTTTTCTTTCCTTTGCAGTCCATCAAAGTAACGTAACTTCTTCTGAGCCCTGGTTTGGTGTTCCACCCTGGTACTGCTCATATGTGGGCCAGGTACCCTAAGCACACATTAGCCTTCCTCTGGATCAATTTTCTTTATTAAGCAGTCTGAGCCAGCCTTCCTCCCTCTCTACACCTCCACTGCAGACCCTTCCAGATGAGCACTGCCCGGGCGAAATATCACCACAGTGGGTCAGGGCCACCCTGACTCTTGCCTGGACAATTCCACCCAGACCACAAACCCTTGATGGTCTCCTCTTGTCCAGCCTGACAAATTCACCTTCTGCATCATCCTAAGGTCATGACTTCTCTGAGATGCCCTTTGCCTTTCATGGTCTCTTCCCATACCCAGCATTTCCAGTACTTTTCAAGATGCTGACCCTTTGTTTGGTGAGGCCTTGGTTCCAGCCATCATTGGCAAGATACTGGTACCACAGAGAAATAGTCCTTCACCATTTCCTATCTGAAGAGCCCCATCTGAAAAAGAGCTAATATTAATCCCTTTAAATGTATGAACTTCCATTGACTTTTCACAAATAAGAACGTGACTTTAACCGGACACCTGTCTTTGTTATTTCATTGTCTCCTTATTTCCTCTTGCCTTTTGTCTTGGAGTTTAGATCATAAAAGACAAGATCATTTTTTGCTACTGTTCTTCTGTTGTGTATCTCCTGCGGCTGCAGGGGTGGACACTAGAACCATACAAGCTGCAGCTCTTTGTGCCAGTGATCCTAATTCTAAAATGACATACTAATATGAAGTCTTTCAATTTCTTTGAAAAAATAATTTTGCACACATTTGCACCCCTGTGTGTTCAACAAAAATGATTTGGTAGGCTGATAAGGGTGTTCTTTTACAGCAACAGAAAAACAGAAAATTAAATTTCTTTCCTGAGGCCACACAGCAAGTCAATCTCAAAGTTAAAATCATGTTTTTTGCTGTATCTTCTCATTGTCTTGCACATCAAAAGACCTCAGAATTAGTATCTCACTGCTGACTATGAGTAACTAATCAGATACAAAACACTGATAAAACTGGAAGAGATGGCTGTCCACATTTTAATATAAACCTAACACGAACATCCAAAGGCATGAACCACAAATCCTTACACAGGCAAAACATCAATTAAAGACCAGACAGTTTGAATGGGTTAATTAACATGAATGCTGACACAATCAATAAAGCTATTCCAGCAAAGCAAATCCCGCCCCAGAATATTTCTCCTAGTTTTCTGACAGATGGCTTTGGATGATACATACTCTTTTCATAAGTAAAAAAAAAACAACAACCCTCATTTGGAATAGCAAGACACAGATCCTTCACACAGATGAAAAAATACTGCAGTTATATCTACATTTATGCTATGCTGACTGGAGCATATGAAGTCAGTACTAATTACTGACAAACTAATCTGTTAATATTAAAAATCAGGATCAAATTCCTGGCAGTGAGTCAGTACCATAACTGCTACATACTGAAATTTGATTCCACTGGCATCATTCATCAAGGAAGACACCACTTAACAGGAGTAAGGATGTAAGAACTTTGTCATTTCACTACACCATTCCTGTCCATACCTGAAGAAACACTACTCATCAAGACTGTGTTCCATTAAAATAAATTAAAAAACTAAATGGGATCACATCCATCTTACAGCACTGTCTACATAACTTTGGGTTTTTTAAAGCCCAAAGTATTTGGGCTTTAAAGTATTTTTAAAGCAGTATATCTTTGGTTAGACTAAAACTGTGTCACACACACAAAGAATTTGTTTTTTACCTTCCTCAAAAGCCACCTGCTTCCCCTAATAATAAGTGAAAATGCTTAGACTAGAAAAAGTGATGTAGAAAAACCACACAAAACTCCTGCCAAGTAATCGGAATATAAATTCAAGGGATCCTTACCAGCTGCAGTCAAAAGCCCACTCCAAACTCTGCTAGATGTTAATCAAACTTAAGTATGTTAATGCACAGTTCCTGTGTTCTTTGCATAGATGACTTAATTGCTTTTGTTAACTGCACTTGCTTCCTTAGGGGGTGCATGTACCCATACAGCTGAACAGCTGATTGTGGAAAACATGGTTATGCAAGTCACCAAAGGACTGTTCACTTGGCTAAACCCTTCTGCTCACCTCAGAACAACTCATTTAACACTGTAACCGCCCCTGGACAGGTCCTCCCACTCCCACCCCACCAGTCACACTTAAAATGACGGCCTTAGCTATCTAAGTAGACATTTAAATGGTAAAATTTATATAGAAAGGGCTAAGGCATCTCCCCCCCACCCCTAACACAAGAGTAGTACAGTTTCTGTCTTTGGGGACTTCAAAACACAGCCAGCCCTGCCCCTGCAGAACTGTGCCACATCTGGACCGTTTTACCACCTGATACACCAGAAAAGGGCAACTCTATTTCCAGGGAAATTAAGTAGACATAGCCAGCTGACTTCACAAGGTCACTGGGCTGCCCGCAGTTTAGATTTTTTTTTGCCAGATATGTACTATAATCATAGTCCACATCTGCCAAATGTGGATATATCTCCAATGTCCATAGGATACAAATTTCATAGCCAGTCCTGTGAACTGCTCTTTTCTGTCAGAGACTTGTAACACTCCAGACTTAAAACCACACACTAAGGAGCAAAGCACAAAGCCATGGCACCTCCACAGCGGCCAAAACTAATATGATGCCACTGATTCACCCCCTGTGGGAGCAGCACACATTTAAATTTGATTGTGTGACAAGGCCACATGGTTGGCTGTGTAAGAAAAAACTAAATGAAGTTTATTACATAATGTGCCATATATTGATGCTGTGCAGGTGCATGAGTTACATAGGCAAATAAGTAGAAACTTGGTCCTAAATTACAGTTTGTCCAGCTTATTAAAGATCTGAAGCACACCTGCCCAGCTGGTCTCTCTGATTTGAGATGGGAAATCAAACTAGACGTGTTAATATGATTTCATTTGCAGGGCCAGTAAGTAGAAAGCAATACAGTTATTTGGCCACCCAGCCTGGTATTTTCCTAGATTCTGTCTCCAGCTCAGATAGTTGCATCCCCACTCCCTCCACTTCAAGAAGAACACACATACCTAATTACATATGCTTTCCTCCAAGTATTGTGCTATTGGGCACAAATACCATTTAGGGATGTTGACAAGGCAACTGAAGCCAGCTTTCAGTTTCAGTCTCACATCAGACATGCTACTCAATCAAAGAACGCAAGACTTTTCAGAAAAGATCTGCAGCTTATCTGCTGGGAAACAAATGCTACTCTCCAGACTTGTCTTTTCGGTTTTTTGTTCTTTCTTCTTCCAAGATGCTGGATAAAAACATTTTTCCTATAGACAGTCATTATGTTAATCAGCTTTCGAACACATTGCTGCCAAAGCTCAGTTACCAACTTGATAAAATAAGCTATGAAGCATCTTCTATACTGATGACATGTTCCAAGTGAGGTTTTAAACTCACTCCATAGTGAGAAGTTGGTACTTTGGAAAAACTTCAGAGCTGTATGTGATTCTAGGAAATGCATGCTCGCTTCGACTACTTTTCAGTACTCAATGATTGGCAGCAACATTTAAGTAATTAATAAGATTATCAAAAGCTCTCCATTCCCAGCTCATTCGAGGAAAAGCAGCTGAGTATTTTTCCTAATTGATTTGTGCCTACATTTCCAGATTGAACCTACTCCTTGGCTGAAAGACAAAATAGGAAATGTTTATGCTACTATTACTGTCGCCAAAAGAAAATCTGTGCAGGATACCACACAACTGAGAATTTCTCTAGGCAGCTTCTGCTGAGAGACATATGCTGGAATGGAATCAAGGTATTAAACAGATGTGCATTTTCACGTGCAGGTCACGCTAATTTACATCTATACACAAGCATCCCTCTATTCCAGTGCATACACTCGCTCCAATCTCTGCTCACGCCTGCCAAAAGCCTTCCGTGAAAACGAAGCATAACCTTTAAAAACAGACACTTAACGGGAAAAAAAATAATAATAAAAAAAAAGTGCTCTGAAGAGAAGCTGAACCGACTCGTCCACTCTCGGGACCGCAGCAGCTCTCCCGCATCCCGCCCCACCATCCTGTCACCCCGCACGAACGCCGGGACAAACACGCCTGGATGCTCTGCAAAGGCGGAGGCACCGAGGTCGGCTCCGCATCCCACCCACTGCCCGAAGGATGCTTCTGCCGAGGGAAAACCCCGCTCCGGGAGCGATGCCGCCTCACCCAGGCTTCCTCCCCGAAGCTGCCGCACCCTGCATCTGCGGCCGGGCCGGGCCGGGACGGGACAGGACGGGACAAGTCCGGTCAGTGCCTACCTGTCCCGCGGGCGCCCTCCCCGTCCGACGGGCCGCCGGGAGCCACCGCCGGGAGCCGCCGCCGCCGGGACTTGAGCGAGGGGCGGTGAGAGCGGCGGGGCCCAG